TGATCCTTGTGAGTCACTTCCAACTGAGGTGATTCTGTGACTAGAAGGACAAAAGCAGGCTGAAATACAGATGCATCTAAAGAAACCTTATAACATATAAAAATGCCCTTAATTTATTTTCCAAGGTCATATTTTAATTTGGAATAGCTGAACTGGAGAAAAAAACAAAGAGTAGTTCAGTTTCATCATTTGTAAAGAAAAGTCACAAATGAGTTTTCCTTCTTACTGCATGTGGAGGTACATTCTGGGAGCACCATACAATACCATCTCAAGCTGATACTTAGGACAGGTCCATTTTCCCACTACCCAGTAGTATGTGCTCACATTCAAAATTGAATAGGATGGAGTTCTCAAATCAGTTTTAACTGAGTATTTGATTAACTAGAGATTTTTTTCAGCTTTGAAAAGTTCTTTTCATTTACTGGATTATAATCAAAGGTGACTTTACTGATAACAGCATGATATCTTTAATATGTACTCAAGTAGTCTGCTCTGGCAGACTTTCTGTGCTACAGATCCTGTACATTACCACAGTAAAGCAAAGTGAAATCCTGCCTTTGACACAACTCCAACAGGGAATTTTCATCTTAGATTCCTCTGTATGTTTTATTGGTTTTGCTGTTTATCTCACAGGATAAACACGTATCAGTGTTTCAGATTCTGTAATTGTGTTTTCTCCAGTCAAAACCAGAAATAGGAATCTTCCGGGAGAAAACTGACAAATGTGATCATTTGTTTAACACAAATTTTACTTCAACCCTCAAGGAATGCAACTGGCATAAACCAGAAGGCTCATCAGTGACAGAAGTTCTGTTGCAAGTGGTGGTCTTTCAACAAAGTACTTATTAGGGCCTTTACAGTGGTAATAAGCACTCATAAAAGTTGATAAACACTCAATAACTAAATTACATTAAAAAAGGATTTTTCCTTGTTTGTACTTCAAGTACTAGCTTTGAAATGGTTACAGAGATTAAACACTGAACTCTCCAGACACACATATCAGTTGTGCAGGATCATACATCCTGTAAATGAGGTTGTTGAGACACCTGCTATTTCCTCAAAACACACTGCTGCAAGTAGCAAAACTGTTTAGTTCTTATGCATTGAATTTATGCACTCAGCGCTCTCAGCTTCAATGAACAAATACTTTGTATATACATATGGAAAGGTTGTATCAAAATAAAATTCGGGTCTGGCATGTACCCTACCTGGTAAACAGAGCACTGGAAAAGCTGGAAGGACTCAGCATTGTCAAGGCTGTTCCAGAGCAGTGGCCACTGAAACTGCTGAAAATGTTTCTACCAAAGCCAGTAGTTTTGCAGCAGATGCATAACCTCTGTGAACAAGAACAGATCATTTACAAGTGCAAATGTTATCACTTCTAACACCTTTTATTTTGCATCAGTCTTTGCAGCCAGCTTCCTGATGTGGCTCCATGGGAAAGACTCCCCCGTATCCCATTGTCTTAGGCTACAATGCAAGATGTAGCCAAAAGGATGCATTCTATTACCATCTTCATAAGCTGTTAAAATAGGTGGGGCCGTGTTTTTTATCTTTCCCATTACTCATCCCTGATAACTCCCTCTGGGGGGCTATCTCTGCTAATGGGACATCAAGGTCTCCCAGCACAACTCGTAATATTACATCATCCCACTGCGAGATGCCACGCCTAGGGGAGGAACCAAGCATCCCTACCTGGATACAACATGAGTTTGGGAACACCACAGGGGCACTACCACTGGATTCCCAGAGAACAAGAGTTCAATACTCACTACTAGACCTTGAAAGACCAGATTGTTTCACAGGATCACTGTTTTGACAAAACCACATCCATCACTCCAACAGGACTGTAGCTATCATTTGACTGTTACCACCACCCTGACCGACAGGCTGTCAGGTCATATTTTGACTGTCAGTTTAAGCCAGCGTTTCTGTACTATTGCCTTAATTTTATTTTTCCTATTAAATTGTAGTTCTGCCTTGGAATCTCCCACTGGTTTGTTTTTAAACTTGTACAACCACTGCTCACTGTGAGGCAGGCACACCAAGCCTGGCCCAGCACCAGGACAGCAGTAGGAGAGGGGTCAGGCAGTCCTGTTTATCCAACAAGCCCAGCAACTCCTGTCCTGCTGCACCTATACCCTCTTGCAGCTACACTATCTGACAGGAGGGAGTTACCTTGAAACTCTTTCCAAGAGGTCTGAAAATCAACAGTTAAGCAGGATAGCACACAGAGACTTATTTTGCCCTAGAATGTGAGCTGGTTTTCACAGTGATTCAGCTTTCATGCTGCATATCAAAGGTACACAGATCCTCCATGGTCCCACTTGGGTAAATCAGTCTGCTGGAAGATTCAGCCTTCCCTCTGCTACTAGATTAGCCACAGAAAGTAGAAGACAAAATAGATTATGACAGGCATGGAAAGGCATGTTTCCTTCATTAATTGCCCAGTATTTTTACCTAAAGGCCAATGAAAATTTAGCCACTGACTCATTCATGTATTGTCAGTGTCTCACAAATATGCATTCAAGAAGAAGAAACAGAATGTCCACTAATAATTCAAAAATAGCTAAGGAATAAAACTTCTTCATAAATCCTACCTTCAAGATGTTAAATTATTAATTTACTTTTAAGGAATAAATATGTCCTAATAGCTCTTGCCAGGCAGTCAGTCAAAAACAGCAGAAACCCACATCACAGGCACAACCAAAACACTTCAAGAAGGACGTTTCATTTGTTCTTTTTAAGATATATAACTTTGCATATCAAAACTGGTCATTTTTAATTACAGAGATTTCTGAAAATTCTTTACTTGGTGATAAGACTCCAGCTTGTGCCTTTTCCAGCTACTTAAAAATTCAGCTCCCTCCAACTCACTGTTTACCTCAAGTGTCATTAACCACATTTGTAAATCAAAGAATTTTATTAATGCATGACAGTGTTGGCATCACGAAGCTTCTGTGGGGTCCCACCACTCACATAAGCCCTGCTCAGACCAGAGTACACCTTACTATTAGCACTGCCTGTCTTAAAGCCAGCAATCTTAAAAGAAGCTTCATTCCTGTAACAGAATTTTGGCTTTTGTAAGAGTTGTTTAAAACAAGAGTATAAATATTGTACCAAATACAATCGACTGTTGGGAATGAAAGAAAAATATTGTTGGATTTATTATACAAGGATGTATTATTGTGGATGTAACGAAAAAACCTCCAACTCCCTTTAGATCTCATTACAAGCTGAACTTTTTCACACCATATAGCAATTTTTCATCATTAATTAATTTAGCATCTAAAAATCTAGGTGCATACATGAGCAGACAGATGCAAAACAAGTATTTTAACTAGCTTCATTGAACTAATGAATTCCATTGCTAAAAGTAACGGTGCTTTAAATTGCAGTATTGAAATAAATTGAAGCAACTTGGATATTGACTGGAAAGCAGGCACAGGTCTACTAACAATCAAGGCCTGGAAACAAACTCTGTTGTCAACACCCAAAAGCTACTTTTGGTATGAAAACCAAATAGATTTAATGATGGAATTACTGATTACTCTACATCTGATGGAAGTGAAACAGAATAAATCTTTATGCCCTAAACTCCAGAGCTGGATTAGATTTTTGCAGCTTTTAAACTGTAAAATGAAAAAGACTTTAGGAATGTGCAAATGGCAGTATCAGAGACAGTTTTCAAGCTTCCTGTATGCACAAGCCATTTGCTTCCTACTTTGATGCTGGGGTATCCAAGTTATGGAGCAGGCCAGGAAAGAGCTGCCATTCTCTTCCACCATGCCTGTGAAGTACCAGAATCAGGAGCTGTGAACAGCCCTGCAGCCATCTCTGCCCTTCCACCCTGCTTGCACTGGGTGCCTGAGGCTACACCCCGTTCCTACTGCACACACAACAAAGGCAGTGGGTGCCAGAGGAAGACACAGCAAAGCAACCACACATTCCTCACACAGCAATCCTGCAAGTGAACTTTTAATAAAAGTGAGCAACCTGCAGCCTACAATCCCATCAAAGCACAGGAGAAAGAAAGAGGCTGCTCCCCAAATTGCTCCCCACTCCGTTAGGATCCTGGAGTGCAGCTTTGGCAAACAGCATGTTGTTACAAACTGAGACAGATGGAAATGTGCTTCCTTGTCAAAGCTGCTATTCCCCAAGAGTAAAGATTTTGTTGTCTTAAATATGCTGTAAGAGATAGAGAAAGGTCCAGAAATATAACAAAACTAATAATATAAAACTAGGTTTATCTGTTTTTCTTAACAGATAAGACCCCCCCCTTTTTTTTTTTAGTTACAACAATATGTGTTACAACAAGCACACATTGTCTTACTGAAGACTTAACCTATTAGAAATAAATTACTAATGTTCGTCATACAGTATTTATCAACAGGATAACTTCTGTGATCAGGTCATTTACAAACTCTAGTCTGTACAAAATATTGCAAATTATGGGATCCCAAGTTTTTAAAGAACCTTTAAATTCAAACTACAGCACAACCCACCTATGAAAAGTTTTTTAAAATTTTAGATACTAACAATAATCTGAATTTAGCTTTGAAAAAAACACAGAATTTTCTGCATAAGAGTGATTCAAGATTAATTTAATAATCAGCTACATCTTTTATTTTAAAGTCCATTTCACAATAAAGCTCAAGAAGAAAACCACCTTCCAATTTCACCAGCAGTATGCTCTTCTAATACTGTTCATTTCTTTCCATGAAAACAAACCCACTCTAGTACCACTCCTTTGTCTACTGAATCCTCACCAGAAAATAAATGCTAATACAATCTTTTCCATTAAGGAAGAAGATGATACACAAACAGAAAAATGTCTTGCCCTACAGGTGCCAAGATTACAAAACAACCCCAAAACTAACAACTCCATATTTTAAAAATGTTCATTTACTTTTCCCAAATTCTTTCAGTCTTCAACATCCATTAAGAGGCAAAAAAAAAAAAAAAAGAGAAAAAGAAATAATGCAATTAACATAAAAGTGTTGTGTTTATTCCATTTTTCCATTTATTCTTGCACAAAAGCCAAACACATCCATTTCAGAGAAGTTATAGTATCAGCAGCATCCATTATCTCATAGAAACCACATTCAAGTACAACTGGAAAAAGCAGTGTCAAAATGCTTCCATATGCATTAAAATAAAATTTTTAATCTTTTAGGTTTTGTATTCTGAGTCTTTAGAAATGGTGATTTTTTTATTAGGTTTGGTAGCCTCATCCATCAGTTCCTTCAGCTGCCCGATCTGTTCATCACGGAAGTCATTAAGTTTTTCTTCTGTGAGCTGAATTCCATATACAGCCTTTTCTCTCAAGTTTTGCTTGTCCTCATTAATTTGTTGATGGATCAGTGCTGCATAGTTCTAATGAGAAAGAAATATAAAGGTCACAAAACTGACAAAAGCAAGATTCAGGTCAACTTTTTTTAATAGTATTATATTGTAATAACATACTCTTACACAATCTCCTATAACGGTCTATTAATCAACAACAAATGACTAAAAAATTTACACTTTTTATAAGAAATAAAACCTATTCAGGCATTTCTAGTATCTACAGTCAGTCATTTTATGAAGCTAGTTTAAAATACATATATGTACAGATCAATGCCCTATCATATACTACTACTGAAAACAAAACAAAATTTAATTATAGATCCAATATATGTATTAAAATAATCTTTCCTATATAGCAGGATATCAATAGGATATACTTCGTAAACTGATACAGCCAGAAAAGCATTCTTCCCAATTTTCAGCTAAAAGAAACCTCAGCATTGCATACTGAATTGTTAATCCAATTACCAGCAAAGTAACTAAAGCCACCACTTCAACTGTATGTCTAATAATTCCAGAGAAGTGGGCAAGAAGAAAGATATTCATCAGCCTGTGATAAATTTCAAAATGACACCATTTACAACATAAATACATTAGATTGTTACTGGACCATGTCCAGCCTCACTGAAGTCAGCAGGATCTTATTAGCCCTGTTGCAAAGCTTAATTCATGCCTATTTAAAGAAAACGGACAGCTAGAACAGAGTCAAACAAAAGTATTTTTTATTCATACAGACCCTGATTCTTTAAAGTTCTTCCCAACATCACCTCTCCTGCTTTTAAATTAAATAGATATTCAGAAACAGTGACACCACAGTTAGTTCCTGTGGTAAACCAACACCTCAGTGGTATTACCTCATGGTAGAGCTGCTGTAGGGTTTAAAAGAAACTAAATAGGTTTTTCCCCAATTATTTTTCCCAATAGGTTTTTTCCCATTGCCAATCATGTGGCAACGATAAGATAAAAAATTGTAATGGCTTAATTCTTCAACTTTGCAATTACAGAATTTCTTATCAAGGCAGATGGACAAATGTGATCTCTGAAGCTACCCAGCAGACCAGTAACACACTGACAGTTACACACCAACCATTCCACCTCGTTCTACTTTATTCTATCTTCACATTTCTGCCCAGAACAATCCAGTCAGTAATGACTCTGGATGTGGAAAAAACAAAACCAAAAAAAAAAAAAAAAAAAACCCAAAACCAACAACAACAACAAAAAAACCTACATCAAAAACCACCAAAACAACAACCAAAAAACCCACACAAACAAACAAACCCCACACCACTTTCATTATAGCAAACAACATTCACAGCATATAATTCAGAAACCATACTGAAAGCAAGCAGTGGAAAACTCCTCACATCTTATCAAGAGATCTGACTGAACATACAAACCTCAAGAACCCCTCCATGCAGTGTGCCACAGAGCAGGTTCCACAGCAGGAGGAAAGTCCTCCCCACTGCTAATAAACAACCACCTGGGTGAGCAGCTTGCAGCTTGCTGCAGGCATGAGGTCTGGTACCTAGAAATAACTCAAGTCCATGTAAGAAAGAAACAGTTAAAATTTTACAAACTGTTGACTGTTTTCCAAAAATATCAAATTAATTACTGGCAAAAAGTCCACAATTTTTTCTTTATCTAACACCAGAGCATCTCATCTTATCTCATCTCATCTCATCTCATCTCATCTCATCTCATCTCATCTCATCTCACAGTGCATCAGCATTACAGAATCCAGATTTTGGAAGTGGTGGTCCTCAACAAAGCTGCAATGCCCACTCTCACAGTGTCCTGCATCCAGACATACAGTCATGGACTGTACATCCCCTATTCCTTACACCAGGTGTTCTGCTTCACAGCACTCCAATGGGCTCCCATCTGGACATCACTGCTGGCTCTTTTCCCCTACTCATTTTCTAGCTGAACAAATGCTTAGTACATGCCAGAAAGCCTCAGTGGTTGCAGTTTCACATCGATCTGCAATGTGAACAAAAATTCAATACTGGACAGTGGAAACATGCTGGGCTCTGGTTGGCTCCTGACAGAAAATGTAGCTTTCTCACTTCATTTTACCAGAAGTCAGTGATGCATCAAATAAAATATGCTTCAGCCTTTAGAAGTGCTGAAAATTCTGGCATATCTCATTTTTTCTTCCTGTGTTATCAGATGAGGAACAAAGCCCGGGATATTTAACTGTTTAAACATTACATGTAATTTAAACAGTTACATTACTGTTCCTTCAGAAATAAATTAGTGATTTGTGGAGAGGTATTGCATGATTTGATGGTACATAGTAATTTAAGATTCAATTTCTATCTAGAATATGTGCCATTTTCTTAACAACACATGAACTCAATGTACTAAACTCCTAAGTTTTGTAACAGGTTTAAAAGCATAATGAAAAAATAAAAAGGGGAGAAGCTAACATTTGCTTTTTCAATAATATAACTTTTGTCATAAAATACAATGATCACAGTCCCTCTCAGGTAATAAGGAGCAGTATGGTCATGTAAGGTCGAAGTTTTCATTACAACTTAATAAATGCAGAATTTAATTATTTTCAAGTGTCATCTTCCTTAACAGCAGAACTGGAACCAACTATTCCTTAGCTTCCTCAAACAAGGAAAATTACTTCACTTCTGCCTTTCCTTTTACGTTATATTTAACTGCATCTTCCAAATATAACAACACTCCTTTGTCATCAATCATGACACAAATCCTTAGCAGATTTTTCAAGGGCATCTTATTTCAATTATGGGTCACACTGTGCTCAAAAAAACAGAGACAAAAGACACAAAATGGAACACAAGTAATTCTGCACCCTCACAGAGCCAGGCTCAACATACACAAGGATGGCAGAAGGACACAGGAGATCTCCTCCCTGGTGGTTTTTTTAGGTTGGTTGGCTGTTTCTTTGGAAGTAGCTCTTACTGCAATGATCCTCTGCCCGCACCAGCTGTAAACTTTCTGTGCTTTTACATGAAAAAAACAAGTAAAAGCCAAACCACTTGCTGAATGGCAAAAGCCCTTCCCCCTTGTATATGATTGCATCAGAAACACAGAGGATCAGAACCAAGCTCAAGTTATGACCACCTCTCCTGACCACTTACATCAGAAGATGGCTGATTAATTCCATATCAAACCCAGCCTGCTGCCCATCCATACCACAGAAACCCTCCTCACCTCAAAGGAGGCCCAAGGTCGCAGCCCAAGGTGCAGACTGGCCATGTCAGTGCCTTGCCATCAGTGTGTGCAAGCACAGACACACCCAAAACCCTCTCTGCATCACCAGTGTGAAGGCAGATCCCTCCCTGGAAAGGTCGGATGCACTCCTCACACACAGGTCACAGTTCTGCCTCAGATCACTGGCCTCTACAGCATGCATGCTGAACCAAGCATCAGGCTCTCTTAAAATCCTCTATGAGTAAATCCTTGAACCTTTAAACTATTTATACAAAAAAAAAAAAAAAAAACCAGAAGGTGAGTGTTTGCTATAATCAATAACCTTTGGAGTTTTTTGTTTAAATTCACTAACTGAAGCAAATATAGAGTTCCCCTCTGCTCTCTGACTCATAGTCATTCACAGAATGCACAAATTCATTAAAAGAGCAAGGGGATGGGTGACATTTGAGGTTTAAAACACCACACACTACAGAAAGACCATCAGCCTTCTTGTTTTCCAAGTTGAGAAAGGATTAAACATAAAAATAAAAGCAAAAATCACACAACTAAAAGCCCCACTTCCCTGACTGCCAGATCTATAGATTCCTACCAGATCTAGTCCACACTGACTACACATTTATCTCATATGCTAATACAAAGTGCCGATAAACATTTATTATTTAATCATAAAATTAAATGAGCTAAGAGCCCATTTGTTTCTTTTCACTGAAAAGAGCAACAATCATAATTTTTATTTTCTCTGGCATCTTCCTAAACATGTACAATGCTGCACTATAGACAACTGCTCCAAAAATCTCAGAAAGATATGTCTGTTCACAGTGACTACCTGTACAATTCACTTTCTAGTCTGATTTTCTCTTTTAAAAAGTTCTAAAATTTTTATCTCCTTTAAGTAGTTGAAGTATAAAGCTTCATCTATTCCAAAAAGGCTATCTCCACTTGCAGCCAAATTAATGACAGCACTGATAAAAAAAATTACTGTGGCCACATCAGAAAATGCTACTCTGAGATGTGTTAAACAGGAAACAGTCAGGCACTAGAAAAATGCTATTAGTTTACTTTAAATTTCTTTTATTCAGGGTGACATTAAAAAAAAAAAAAAAAAAAAAAAAAAAAAAAGCATGGCCTGACAAGCCACTGTCATCACTCTCTGGAAGTAAATTTCAAATTGCAGCATTTCAAGTGTTTCTGCTGCTACTCAGAGCAAAATCAAACACATGCTGCTAAGGGTGGCAGCATGAAGAAACAGCTGTGAATGAACAGCACAGCAAGGAGCACCCTTTTCTTACTACTGTGCAGAGATATGTTGAATTAATTATTTCACACTCATTCAGATAGAATTATGCTACTTATTTACTCTATTTTTACTACAAAACTGTTTTGATGTTAAACTGAGAAACAGAAAAATATACAGTATTATACACCATTTTTAAATGGGTGCTATACCCCATGAAAATCCAGAATATCTTCTTCATACATTTTACCTGAAGCTGTTAGTTACAAATGCAGTAATAACCCAGGAAAATTCTACCACATTTAAGCTCAGCTTAATACAACACTGCAGTGAGCATTTTCATGGACTCACATACACATTGACCCATAACAATCTATATTTCATCAGGTAAGACCATTAAAAATAGCCCTAAACACTTTTAAAATTGCATAAAATACAATTACTGCCAAACTAACTGATGTGAATAAACACCTGTGTAAAGTTCCACATCCTCTAACAGGAGCAAGGTATTATCAATTTCAAAATTTAAATTTCTAATCACTTTTGGTTTTGTAAATGTCCCACCATTAACATGTAAAAAATGAAAAATCAATATACTACAAAG